TATATAATTTTATATTTAATATTAGTCTTGTTTGATATATTTCATTGTGTTAATTCTAGAGATATAAATTTTATCAAAAATAAATGTATGTTGTAATATTTATGATATTTTAAAGTTTTGAAAATCAAAATGTCACATCACCATACTTTTTTATAAATAATTACAAATGATGAATAACTATTGTTTGAGATGTAATTTCATCTATTAAAAATTAATAGGACTTGAATGAGAAAAAAAAATCTTATCTAGGGCTTAATAAAGTATAACCAAAGAGTTCATAGATTGTAATAAAAAAGAATGTCATAATTAATCTTTTAATCGCAACTAATATGCATATGATATATATTTCAAAGAATTTTTTGTTATATTAAATATATATATATATTCACATATTATCAAAAAAGTGAATAATTTTTTTTATTTTTTTATTTTTCTTTTTTTGTGAAATTTACTTGCTAAACAACGTGTTATCATTGCACTGGTAAAATGAACCTTTCATTCCATGCATTTTGAGCCAGTTTGGGAACTGATTATTTTAATTGTTTTTTTAATGAAAAAATAGAAAAATAATGTGATGGAATGTTTTGATTTTTTTTTGACTATTTTAATTAAAAACCCACCACCCAAAATGGATAAAAGTAAGGATAAATTACACTTTGTACCAAATTTTACTTTGATCCTTATATATGAAATCATAACAGTCAACCCCGACACATTATTTAAGTTTTTAACAGAATTCAGTTATATATTAAATGTGTAACTACGAAACGAGAATAAGAAAAGAAAATCATCATCATTTTCTACCAATACACACTTTGTCCATGTGACAAGTATGTAAGGATTATATAATACAATATATATGTTCATATGTTGCAAATAAGTACTAAGGGCTCGTTTGTTTTGAAGGATAATTTATGGGATTGGTCAATTAGTCCGGAGGGACTAATAGTCCGTTGTTTGGTATGGATTTTTTGGTCCGGACTAATAACCCCCCCGAATTATTAATCCTATATTCATTGGCTTATTGTATCTGGGGGGGGCTTAGGACAGAATTCATGGGACAATGTATCCTATGGGATTAGTCAGGTTTATTACATCTTTGATCCCATCTCTTTCTTTTATCTTTTGCCCGTTTTGCTTTCACTGCAGGAGCTTCATGTCATTGCAGGAGCATGCTCAGGAGCTTCATTTCCTGCACAGGAGCTTCATTTCATCTTTAAAGTAAAAATAAAATAAAATAAAATAAATCATCTAATGGTATTAATTATATTTGGTGCATTAAGTCAAAAAAAATTCATATTTGGTGCATTCGTGGTATTAATTATACTTAATAAAGTAAAAAAAAAAATTAAAAAATCTCAATTACAAATTAAAATAAATTTATGTAATATTTATTAATATTCTATTTATTTAATATTTTAAAAGTTCTAGTAAACAAATTAAATAAAATTTATAATTCAGATTTAATATTCTTGTTATTTAGTAAATAATTCAAAAGGGTAAAATGGTCTTTTGAACATTTATCTTTCTCCATAATATCCCAAACAAATATGGAATTCAATAGAATAGTCCAATCCAGACCTTTAATCTCATGATTAAACAAACATAGAATACAAATCCAGTCCAACCAGATAGTCCAGGGACAATGTATCCCAACACTAACAGTCCGATGGATTACAATCCCCCCTTATCCAATCCGTCCAAACAAACGCACCCTAAGAGATAAGAAAACAAAGTTTTTGAAATTAAAAAACCGCATCAGAAAAAGAAAGAATAATTGATAGAAGATTGAGTTATTATGGAAAATAGAATTTTTTGGTTTTAATTTATGCAAAATCCTAGTTCATCTCCTTAATCATTCACAATTTACGTTTTGTTTTAGCTAAATATAGTTATAATTTGATATAAATTTTAGGACGAAATGTGTATAGGCGAGAAATGTGAGTGATTTTCTTCATTTGCCCTTATATTGTGGAATAACAAAATGGGGACATTGATACTTAACCAGAAATGTAGGGGTTAAGTGTTATAATTTTATGTATAAGAAGTAAAGTGAGATTTAATGCAAAGTGTATGGATGCAATGTGCAATTTACCCTAAAAATAAAATGAACATTTTGCTTACATGTTTGTTTGTTTTTGTTTTTGTTTTTGTTTTTTTTTTAAAAAATTCAAATAAAATCCAAAAAGATAAAAATAAGCCAAAATCGTGAATTTTTTATGCTTATTTTGGATTTTTCATTTTTTTTATTTTATAAATTCCTCTTACAAGACGAATTGGAAAAATAAAAAAAAAATTGACAAAATGTTTTTTAAAAAGTCAATGAAGATTAAAAAAAAAAATTATGTCGATTTCTTAGGTGAAACACCCTAAATTTATTACAAAAATTTATATTTGAATTCTCTCCATTATACCAGGATTATCAAAATTTTCATACATATAATTATTTATCAGGATGACGGGTTAGTGTCATTTTTAATATTATGAAACATTTTAATAAAATATTTATTTTAAAGTGATTGTATACGTATTTTTTATATATATTTATTTACTCTTACATAAATGGAATGGAGACGTACAAATCATGATCAATGATTGTGACGTTATCATATTTTTATTGAAGTTAAAAAATAATTAACAAAGTTTTAAAATTCAAATTAATGTTACAATTATGCACCGTTAATTTTAAATTTTTATAATGTATTACAATATTGTACATTAAAATAAAAATTTTAGTCATTCGAATCACCCTATTTTATTGAGTTTTCAAAATTTGTTTTTATATTTTTTTTATTACCAAAAGAAATTAAAAACTAATGGGGGATGCACCAATAAATCTTAAATTAATAACTTATACACTGTTTAGTCCTAAAAGTTTTCTTATAGATTGAAAGGTTCCATTACAATATTTCAAACATCATATTAATGTTTCGAACATTAGATTTCGAACATCATATTAATGTTTCGAACATTAGATTGATGTGCAAATGGGACTAAATGGAGCATAAGAAAACTTTTAGGACTAAATGGTTCAACTTTTCAGAAACTAGGACTTATGGGTAAATTTTCCAAAACTAATTGGTATGAAAATGAACATAAAAATTACTCATCATTTATGGTTTTCTCTTTTTGGACAAAAAATAATTTGAAATTTTTTAAAATGTTTTTGATGTTTATTTTTGTCAAGTTAATTTTTTTTTATTAAAAAAAAATGGAATAAAGTAGTAGAAGTAATTGTTTGATATATTCTAACAAGCTGAAAGTTAATAATCAAAAATCAGAAAGTAAAATGCCTCCCCTATTTGCCGATAAACATATTTTTTTTAGTTTATTTAAATTATTTTTGTTTAACAAGTTATAAGCAAACCAAACACTATAACACAAATTTTCAAACCAACAAAAAATAAATAAATAAATAAAAAGAAAAGGGTTAATTACATTTTAACCCTATAGTTTGACTCAAGTTTCACTTTGGTTCTATAGATTCAAATAGAATAGTTTGATCTCTATACTTTAAATCTAATTTTAGTTTAGTCTTTTCGTTTTAGTTTAAGGTTAAAATTAACAATTTCCATATATTTGTCAGTCATTTAAAATGTACACATAGAAAAATTAATGAAAATAAAACTATGAAGACTAAACTTAAAACAGACGAATTAAATTATCTAAGTTAAAATTATAATATTAAAATAAAACTTAAATCAAAAATTTTGAATAATGTTATTAATGAAACGTGTAACTAACAAAAATAAATGTGTGTTTGGTTTGAATTTTTTAGATTAAGTTTTTTGAAAATTGAGTTTTTTGTTTTTCATATTTTTTTGTTTTTTAGTGAATATTTTTACAATTTTAAACATTTTTTTAAAAAAATTTTTAGATGCACCTTACTTAAATGTATTTGAAAAGTAAAAAAATTGTGAAAAAATATTTTTAAAAATTAATAAATACATAAAAATATGAAAAATATACCGAATTCGCGTATTTTTTTAAATATATTTTTGGTATTTAGTTAACTTTTAAAAAAAATGAAAAATATACCGAATTCGCGTATTTTTTTAAATATATTTTTGGTATTTAGTTAATTTTTAAAATATTTTTTTACGAAAATTATACTTTTATGTGTATTTATGTTAAGTGCGTCTAAAAATTTAAAAAATTGGTTAAAATATTAAAAAAATCAATAAAAACAAAAAAAAAACAAAAATAAAAATATAGAATTTTTTGAAAAATAAAAAACAAGAAAAATGAATAATGTTATTAGCATAATGTACCAAACCTTTCTCCTATCATAGCCCCTGCGTAGAGAGAGAGAGAGAGAGAGAGAGGGGGAGGGAGGGAGGTTGGAAGAAGTTTTGAATTAATAAATTTATATTAAATAAACAAAAAATATAAAAATATATATAATAAATTATAATTTGTAAGGAGTAGGCCCACGTAACGTCTCAGACCCATCAATAATTTTGAGTGAGAGAGAGTTTGGCCGAGGGAGAGAGATTGAAAAGACCAGTCAAATGTAAAGAGCCTGCATGGCCATGAGAGTTACGCAAGATTTAAGCAGTGTCCGCTCTCCCCTTTCTCTCACCTCAAAGTTTATATAAATAATAATAATATGAACTCAAATTTACTTATTTAAAATCATTTAATATGAACTCAAATTTACTTATTTAAAATCATTTAAATCTATTTAATATTATATAAATTTAATTTTCACTACTCATACCCTAAAAAAAAAAATTTGATTGAGAGATGGTTTGAAATGTTCTAAATAATTATATTTTTTGACTTTTTATAAAAAAATATATATATAAAAAAATAAAAAATGTAAGTAAAAAAATAGAGATGAGATATTAATAAATATTAATTAATGTAATTCAAACAAATATATATATATATATATAAAGTACAATTTTTTAATATATGCCAAACTACGTCCAGCACAGTAGACATTTTCTTATATAAACCTTATAAGCCTGACCTCTTTGATTGTCTCAGAACCCACTTTTTCCCATACACTGCTTGCCTCCTTGCATTCAAGTATCAAACCATCCATACCCCTCCCCTTCTCTCTTCCATCGCTTTCCATTCTCAATTCCAAAGCTCTCTCTCTCTCTCTCTCTCTCTCTCAACATGGCAGCTTTTTCATTCCAACACCAGCCTTCTCTCCTTGACCCAACTTTCCTGCCAGACTCCTCCGCATTTTCCCAGGAACCAAACACCACACCCACCACCAACTGTTTTTCTCAATTTTACCGACTTGAATCTCCTCAGCAGATCCCTGTTGATGTTTGTTTTCATGAAAGTAGTTGCCTTGAAAATGGAACAAAAGTTGGAATTCGTCATAACAATGAGCCTTCTGTGACCAATAAACACAGTACAGATTCTTCATCAATGGTTGATAAGTCTGAAAGTGGTGAGCAAGCCACTCAGAAGGTGATTGTCATAGCCAAGAAAAGGAAAAGCATGGATGGGTCTTCCATCACTTCTCTTCAATCTATGGTATTTATATACCTATATTATATTTTTCAACTTTATAATTTAATTCAAATTTTATTTTGGTATTCATTATTTTAATTTAAATATTTTGGTTCCGACCTTTTAAGTTCAGTCTAGTTTAGGTTTTATTTGGGAATAACTTTTTTAACCTGATTTTTTGCTCCCTCTATTTTAGCCCGATTAAAAAGGTTCCATTTAGAACGTACTTTGGCTTTTTTATAGTTTCGTAAAAATAAAAAAATAAATAAAATGATTATGCTTAAGATGTAATATTTAATTTTGTTAATTTATTTTATTTTTTAATGAGCTAATTTAGTCTCAATTATATTACCAAATGTGAGCTAAGTCTTTTTGTCCAAATTTCTTGTTTTTTTATCCACACGTATACCTTATGAAACTGACATGTGTCCCAAAAATCTTAACTTTAATATCTAACTTGAGGGAAATTCTATGAGTTGTATGGCACACTCGTAGTTATGTTTTTTTATATCTGTGGTTATGATTATGTTTTTAAGTTATGAATTAGTGTGATGTTAGTTATGATTCAAGAGTTTCCTTTTATACCTTATGTAATATTTGATAATAATTTATTTTTTTAATTATGACTCCCATAACATTAGGTTATACCATTTGTAATAACTTGCTTATGGCATAACGTAAAAGGTGTGTATGAGTATGTTCCCTAAACTTGCACAGGTGTACCATGGCATTTCCCTTGAGCACACTAATTAAATTGAACTAAACTTAAACACACTTAAAATAAATAAATAAATAAATTGAACTAAACTTAAAATTTATAAACCAAATATTCAATTTAAAATAATAAAAACAAAAATAAAATTTAAGGTAACTATAAGAATTAAATTTATTATTATTATTATTATGGGTATATTAAAGACTGTAGTCTCGACAGGTCAACGTCTTGCCCGTGTCAAGTTTGATAGCTTAACCATCAGGCCAATTAACTTATCGTCTAAGACTCACGAAAAAAATTTAATTTTTTTTTTATTGTCAAGGTTTTTCATTTTTAAGACGGCCTTGTTTGAAAATAAATTATTTTAATAATTTTTTAATTAAAATATAAGGTTAAAAAAATTAATATATTTAAAACAACTTTGTAAGTTTTTATAATAAAAAAAAGTACAAAAAATAAGGAGAAAAAAAAAAAGTGAAAAGATGCTCAGACTTACGCCATTGTACATATTTATACAATAATGTGAGAGCTAGTTGGCCACCATGACGCTCTTAAGGGGAGGACAAAAGTTAGGGGGAGTTGAATTAAGAGGCGAACACGGTATTTTACAAAAATAGACAGGATATAACTATCATAAGTATTAATCTAATCACTAACTTTCGTTGATTAAAAAAAAAAAAGTGAGACTTCGTTTCGTACCCTACCTCACCCACAACATACATGGGGGTTGCTTTTTATTTTGTAGATTGTGTCTGTTTTGATATTGAATTGCTGAATGTTGTTGTGATTGCATGTCTTTTTACTATTAGGAAGCAAGAGAAGTGAAAAGCAATAAGGAAAAGAGAAGCAATGGCACGATTACAACAATGACAGATGAGAAAGTAATAATAAAGAAGCCAAAAGCTGATAAGCAGAAGGATCAAAAGAAAGTTCGTCCTGAAGAAGTTCCCAATGGCTATAATCATGTAAGAGCAAAGAGGGGTCAAGCTACAGACAGCCACAGCCTTGCAGAGAGGGTACTGTTGTTCACTATTCAAAATCCTTTACTCTCTCTCTCTCTCTCTCTCTCTCTCCCTCTGTCTTTCTTTTTTTGTTTAAAGGGTAAAGCTTTACAAAATTGAAAAAGTCCACATAAACCATTTATTTATAGAATTTTTTAAGTGTGTAATTATACTAACCTCCTTTGAAATTTTTTTTTAAAAAAAATTATAATTAGTCTCGTAATTTTGGCAGAATTATATTGAATTTTTAAAAAAAATTTAAAAAAAATCAAAATTAATGCAGATGGTATGAAGATGCAAACATATATAAGATAAAATATATGTTTCAACGTAAAAAAGATGATAATATTATTTTTTTCATTCATATAACTAATGAATTTTTTGATAAAAATTGGGGCCTAGTATTATGTGAATTAAAATTTTTAAAGGATTTAATGTAATTATATCTAACTTATAGAGTAATTGTATTTCTCTAAATATCAAGGAAAGTCAGTGTAATGTGTCACATTTATATCTATGGTTTAGAAATCAAAATATTTATAACTTAAATTCATTATTATAAAAATATTATTAACACATCATTTTTATTATAAAATTATGTTTGAATTTTAATTTCCTAACATATATTTTCTTGAAAATGGATTTCAGGTGAGGAGAGAGAAAATAAGTGAGAGGATGAAACAGTTGCAAGCTTTAGTTCCAGGATGTGACAAGGTGAAGAAGCTCAAATTTCAGTATTTCTTCCACAAAATATTAATAATGTTGGAAAAGTAGAAAGAAATTTTTTTTTTTTTTTCTTTTGAACAAGAAAAAGGAAGCTCTGTGGTGTCATCACAGCCTCCGCGGGCCTTGGCTTGATCACAGATTTCTATCCAATTTTTGTGTTCATAATTTATCTATTTATAAAAATAAGGGTTATTTACACCAAGATCCCTTAACTATTAAGAAGTATCATTTTGACTCCTTAAACTATAAAAATATATAAATAAACCTCTTAAACTATTGAAAAGTATCACTTTGACCTCTCAATCATAAAAACATACAAATATTTTTAAGAACTCGTTTGGAATGTAGGTTGGTTTTTTAACTTTTTGACTATTTTAGCTTGAGGCTAAAAAACTTCGTTTGGGATATATTTTTTGATTTTTTTTTTGACCTTTTTAAAAGAAAAAATAAAATGATTATGGATTTTGATGTGATATTTTGTCTTATTTAACTAACATAGTTTGTTTTGTCTTATATAATTATTTTAGTCCCAAGAGACATGCCAAACGAACCCTAGGTCATAAAAACGTACAAATTGGATCTTTAGCAGAAACGATCAAAGTTAAACATACCAATAGAGAGTCTATTTGTACGTCTTTTAACTTAGAGGACAACATGACATTTCTCAATAATTTAAAAATCTATTTATACGTTTTTAAAATTTAGAAAACAAAAGTGATATTTTTCAATAATTATTTGTATATGTAAAAAATCCTAAAACTAAAAGTATCTGTATCTGACAGTGACGTCACTGAAAAATAGGTAACAGGGAATGCCCTTGTGTTGGATGAAATAATCAACTATGTCCAATCCTTACAATATCAAGTAGAGGTAAATATATATATATATATATATATAAATTTTTTTCACCATTTTTGTTCAAAATGACCTGTCTATTTCTGTATTAAAAAATAATTTAAGTAAAAGCAATCTAATTTTTCTCCAAAAAATTTCAGTTCCTTTCTTCGAAGCTTGCTTCAGTGAATCCCATGTTCTGTGACTTTGGAACGGAGTTGGATGCATTCATGGTTCCACATGAGGTATAAAACAAAGTCATGTATTAATATCTCAACACTTCATATTATATCCCAGCCACAAAAAGAAAACAAAAGGCACATGATAATATATATATTATTTAGGGACAATTACAAAAAATAATAATAATAAATAAATAAATAAAAATATGATTTGAATGTTTTAACAAAATAAACTCTGAGTTTTTGATTTTATAAATTTAAACTCTAATTTTTTTATTTGTTTCAAACTAAATCATTGGCCTATTTTTGTTAAATAAAATTGACGGGGAAAAAATATTTTAGTTATTAAAGATATATATAAAATGTCTAAAATACTATTCTTCATTAAATTTAATAACTAAAATATATATTTTTCTATCGGTTTTATTTAACGGAAATAGGTAAATGGTTTAGATTGAAAAAAAATCAAAATTTATGGATTAAATTGACAAAATTAAAAATTCAAGGTTTATTTTGTTATAATAGTTCAATTTTATTTTTTTATTTTTTTGGTGTGTGTGTGTGTAATTTCTCCTATTATTTATTTATTTTGTATTGAAGCTGATGTTGGATCTTTGTCTATGAGTTGAATATTCAGACATGGATGAGTAGTCAAGAGGAATCTCCATTGCCAAATGTGCCACAATGCAACTCCCCTCAGTTCGCTATACCAAATAGTTATCCTCTTTTGGACAGTTCATCTTCTTCACTACTATTTGATCATCAACAAGTGCAAATGCCAGATATCCTCCCTCAGGTTTGTTAATTAGGAACACAAAAATCAGGCACAGAAATAAAAACAAAACTCACTTGAATGGATAGAATTTGTTAGAGGGTCCACTTTTTTTAAAAAATAAAAAATAAAAAATAATTGTTCATCATAGTTTGAAATATTAGCCAATACATACTGCATGGATTAATAATTATCAGTTTTTTTTTTTTATTTTGATACCGATACATCTTGGATTAGAATAAAAATCACAAGCGTATTAGTCAGTTCCAATACTTACCGGTTCAGAACTAATTCGCATTCAATACGGACGATTTGACTATTACAAAGTTTTTTTTGCAATTGATGATTTTAAATAATTCACAACTGTGACATTCAATTTCCAATATATATCATTTAATACTCTTGATACTATTACATGCAACTGATAGCTATCTAATATTGTTATTTAACACCATGCTATCCATATATATATATATATATATATAATTTGGTGTCCAATTAAGTATCTATTTGCTAACTTTGACAAATACATCACTTTCAGGATAATGGGCAGCTCTTGTGGGAAGTGGATGACCAAAAACAAAAACTTATAGATCAATCTGGAAGCTTTACCAACAATTTGTGTTATTTCCATTAATCTAATGGTACTATTTAAGCTATAGGGTTCCCTACAAGCATTTGGTAAGCCCTCCAATCACTGTCTCATATATATGTGTTTGTCTAACCATAAAAAAAGTACTTAATTACTCATAAAACAACTATTAAAGCTATCATGTTGCTTTTACTAGAAACTTCAAGTAGAGATAGCCCTACTGAAATTCTTTTCTTGTGAAAGTTTAGGGCATCAACCAAATGGGCTGTGGAGATGACATTTGTCATTTATGTAGAAAGGGTAAATTACACTTTCTATTTTTATAGTTTGAAAATTTTAATATGAATAGTTTTAAGTTTGGTCTTTTCATCTGAATTACTGTTAATTTTTTTATGTGTATTTTTTATGTGACTGACATAATTTAAAACAACAATGATTCATCCCCCCTTTTTTCCCCACCCCCTTTGACCCCCTCTCTCTCTCATTGGTTATCTTTTCTTTTTCTTTTTCTTTTTTTTCCTGCTCCTCCAATCACCCCCTGCCACGTGGCAAAGGGGGTCCCAAGCATTATTCAATTTAAAAAGTAGTGACTTTCAACAATTAATTTGAACGAAAAAATTAAATTAAAACTAGATTTGAACCCTAGGTTAATATTGTTTAGAATGAAAAAATCAAAATCAAAATAAAATTTAAGTCAAACTACAAAAGTAAAAAGGGTAATTTACCCTTAAAATGTGAGGCAAAAAAAATCAAATTCTATTAGAATGGTTGTGGGTTTCATAGTCGGATTCATAGGAGTAATTTTTTTAAACAAAAATTTGACCTAGATCCACTACTACAAATATAGATAAAGATCACATTTTTTTGGTGTGATGTATGTTTTTTAATCACACCTTTTAAGTTTTATTAAAGTGTGGTCTTTAGGAGTGTGATTAAAAATGGTCATTTTTAATCACACTTTTTAAGTGTCATTAAAAAATGTTTTCATCACATCTTTTAAGTGTGATTAATAATATTTAGATCACACCTTTTAAGTGTAAGTGTGGTTAAAAACATTTAGATCACACCTTTTAAGTGTGGTTAAAAACATTTAGATCACACCTTTTAAGTGTGATTAAAAACTTTAGTTCACACCTTTTAAGTGTGATTAAAAACTTTAGATCACACCTTTTAAGTGTGATTAAAAACATTTAGATCACACCTTTTAAGTGTGATTAATAACTAATAAAACCTGTGATAAAAAAAATTTTGACATATTTAAAGAATAATCAATATTATTTTTGCACGCGCATTTGAATAATGTAATACACACTATATACTATATTTCGAATCACAACCATATATTGAATGAAATAATATCATATATTTCATAAATGAAAGTTAAATGTTTAAAAGTATATACAAAGAAATTAATAAAAAAAAAATTAACTGTGATTACATACATTAAAAAATAAAAAATAAAAAACTTGAAAAAAATAAGTTCTTGAATTCTTTGACCATATTTTGCATCTCTCCAAGAAATTTCTGACCTGAAAAATAAAAAAACAAATTAATTTAAAAACCGCCAGAAGCATATGAATAAACTTACTAATTAATTTATAAACTTACATTTAGATCACACCAAAAATAATGTAATTTATCCAGTTGTTAAACTGCCCCAATCCTTTCCCCACAGCCACCAAAAATGACATAATTATTTTGATTCTCCACACAAATAGTATAAAGCTACAAAAGATATTGATACCCTTGTAGAAGCCAAAATAAATCATCAAGGCATGAATGATTTCAAACTTTCTTAAGCTAAAATAATTTAATAATAAAACAAAAAAGTGATCTAAAACTCAAGATATGCACTTGTAGAAAATGACAATATTATTTGAGAAACAAGACATTTAATAAAAGATTAGATACTAAGCACGACACAACAAAGAGAGTAGGGGTAATATGTATATATATATATATAATCACACTTAATTGAAAAGTGACATAAAAAATAAATATTATCACACTTAATCAAATTAAGTGTGATTAAAATATCAATCTAATTTTTTTTATCACACTTCCAATAAAAGTGAGATCTTTTTTTTTGTCAAAGTGTGATCTTTAACTATTTTTGTAATAGTGATCTTATTTGCAATTTTCTTTGCTGGTCCTTCTCTATGCACATATCATAACTGAAAAATTATATAAATTGCAATTTTTTTTTTCTTGTTTTTGTACTAATATTTGTTTACATGGAAATTGCAGTTTGTAAGGAAATTCCACAGAAGGAAAAGCACAGGAAAGTATCAAATACCAATGGAGAGGGAAAATATCACACCTCAAAGTTTCTGATTCTAACTCTGTAGCCCAGTATATGAATGGAGTCTGTGGACATGAATAAAAGGGGATGAACCAAAATCAATGGTTGAAGAACACAAAAGGACAAATATTATATAAAATAACCAACCAATAACATGAGGTCTTTTGTAGATCCCTAGTTCTTGTCCAATTTGACTCCACCACAAGTTTCTCAGGCACAAATTCCTACAGCTAGTTTTGTGGTGTCAGAAGTAGAAAGAACCCAAAGTAACGTAAAAAAAAAGTACCATTTGCCATATATTTAAGGTAAATTGCATTTGTAGTCTATGTAATTTGTCTTTTATGCTAATTCAGTTTTTGTAATTTTTTTTTCATCAATTTTGTCTTTATATTTTTTATGTTGCATTAATTTAATTGATAATGACATTTTAAAAATTTGATTGAAATTAAGAAGTAGAATAATTTGTTGACTCTTGTCAAAGTAATTGAGTGGATTACATTCAACTTGAAGATCCCACCAAATACATCCGAAAATTTTGTTGAACACCCTATTTCTTGAGTCACTCCACTGCACTCCTTTTTTATTTATTTATTATTATTTTTTTTTTAAACACTCCAATTAAACCCAACCCTACTCTATTTACCTCCTCATTCCCTTCCTTGCTACCCTTTTCCCTCTCCAACCTAGGAATGGCAACGGGGCGGGGCAGGGTCGGGGATCACCCTCCCTGTCCCCGATCCCCGATGGTTGAAGGAGGAGGAGGAGGAGGAGGAGGAGGAGGAGGAGGAGGAGGAGGAGGAGGAGGAGGAGGAGGAGGAGGAGGAGGAGGAGGAGGAGGAGGAGGAGGAGGAGGAGGAGGAGGAGGAGGAGGAGGAGGAGGAGGAGGAGGAGGAGGAGGAGGAGGAGGAGGAGGAGGAGGAGGAGGAGGAGGAGGAGGAGGAGGAGGAGGAGGAGGAGGAGGAGGAGGAGGAGGAGGAGGAGGAGGAGGAGGAGGAGGAGGAGGAGGAGGAGGAGGAGGAGGAGGAGGAGGAGGAGGAGGAGGAGGAGGAGGAGGAGGAGGAGGAGGAGGAGGCGGAGGAGGAGGAGGAGGAGGAGGCGGCAGTGGCCTAGAGGAGGAGGAGGCGGCGGTGGAGGAGGCGACGAGAGGGAGAGCAGCCGACTGGGTGCAGAGAGAAGAGAGAGAGAGATAGATCAGAGAGTGAGGTGAGGGTGAGACAGAAGAAAGAGTGAGAGAAGAGACGGGCGAGAGAGAGAGTGTGTAAGATAGTGTAAGAGTGGATCTGTAAAATATAAACATATATATATATATATAATATAATAAACAAACATATAAATATATATATAATAATAAACAAACATATAAACATATATATATATAATATATAATATATAATATTCAAAGACACAGTCTGTAACCAAACCAAACATATGTATATAATATATAAATCGGGGGATGACCGGGGCGGGGAGCGGGGCCGGGGCCGGGCTGGGACCGGGGATGAAATATGTATCACCGTCCCCGGCCCGAATGTCACCGGAGATTTAATTTTGAATACCATCCCCGTCCCCACGGGGGTATTTTTTGGGAAAAAGTCATTCTTATCGGGGACGGGAGGTCGGGTCCCCGTCGGGTCGGGTTCAAATTGCCATCCCTACTCCAACCTCCCCCCTCACCCCTTATGCTCCCTTCCTCTCAAACCCTAATCTAAACCACCACCCACCATCTCAATAGAGAGAGAGTGTGTCACGCAGAAGAGGGGAATGAAAGAAGAAAAAAGGAAAATAGAGGATGTAAGAGCAAGGGGCAAGGGGCTAGAAAGGGCTAGCGGGAGGGTTTGTCTCTTTTGGTAATTTAATTTAGAGACAAAATGGCATTAACCAAAATAAAAAATCAAAAGATGAGGTGTCCAACAATTATTTGGGATGCATTTGGAGACTCCTCAACTTGAAATAGTATATTCATTTTAAATCGATCTTTTTACCCTTAATTTATATTCTATTGAGAAATATTATCAATCGGATTAAATTAATAAAATGAAAAAAAAAATCAATACAATTAAAATTATATGGACCAAATTGACATAATAAACAAATTACAAAAGTATAATGTGTAATACAATATTTTGGACAAATAACATAATAGTAATGTTTAGAAAAAAAATAATTACAAATAAATAGTAAACATTATAAATATTAAGGTTTATTACATTTTATACCCTTAGATTATTGTCAAATTATTTACGTAATTCATGAACTATCGATTGAATTTACTCGGTCCCTATAGTATATAAATAAAAGTCTATTTATTAGTCTCTAAAGTATTTAATTCAAATCTATTTAATCATTGAAAATATTACAAAAATAAAAGAGAATAAAGACAGTTTTAGTCCCTAAAGTATGTGTTGTTTTTCATTTTAGTCCTTTAAGTTTTAAGTTTTAATTTTAGCATTTTGGTCCTTAAAATTGTCAATTTGATCCTAGGTCTAACATCAGTCTACATTGATGATCGGAATGTAATGCCCCCAAATAATTAACATAAGAAAACTCAAACATACTCCAACAATATAATCTTGTTTTAATAACTTCCATTGCATCAATGTATATGAAATATAATGTCTCATCATTAACGTCATCATCAAATCTCTAAGATTTATGTTCATTATACTCTAGAGATTAACAAAGTATTCCACATGCAATTATACATTCAACATTTTCTAGAATATGAATTTATAGCATGTGGCACAATAAGTCGAATATAATTTAATGCCCTCGTGAACTACAAGTTCTAAGGTTTATGCCCAGTTACACAAAATGGTTATCGAAACCCATACATATAAAGCTTTCGGCTTGTCAAAATAATAACAAAAGAAAAGAGCTATGTGTCCTCAAAATACACTCTGCGCCTTTAACTTGGCGCCTTTAACTTGGCGGAATCACCGCATCTTTTCTCTACAAAATCCACTAGGGTGAACACAAAGCCCAATAGGGAGATCTTAACAAAGTATATTCATTTTATACAGTCTCTTGAAATGAATGCATATGTCATGCTATGCTCAAAATATATTTCTTTATCTTTTGGAAACCTTATGCATGATGCAAATTTGAAAACACGATAATTCAGTAACCTCAATATAATTTAAGGGCTGGTAAATATGACTCAAGTAATCCCTAGGTTGGTATCTGCAGGTAGGCATATCAAGCACTACCAATCGCCACTTTATTGGTTTCTAACCATAAGGCACGTGGTACTTCATCCGCCCTTGTTTTCGGTTTTTCACCATAGACACTCAGGCCAACTTAACCAATATCAAACTACACCTCCTATCCGGACTTACCAACATATTTACCCCAAAATAATTCAAGATGATTTTGTTTCACAAAACAATTCCTTTCTCAAAGCAATAATTTTCAAATGCAATTCGAAATCAATAATAACAAAAATGAAATGAAATGGCAATGCAACATGTAACAATGCATTATAATAGTTTCATTTTCAATTCCACCACGCAATCTTCCATTGTGATCAAATTCTCATATCTCTTCTTAATGTAATATCATAATATATCTTCCGAGAGATAACTAACAATATCATCATACATGATTTCTCCACAAGTTAATAATCATTTTCAAACTTTGTCTTTTCAAAACAAACTAATAATATTTTATTCATCAAGTTTTCAAATTAATCATTTCTCATTTTTTCATGGAATTCCTCATTAGATACAAATATAGACATCTCTTCATCAATTATTCACCATAGTAATTTATCAAGCATGAATTTCATAAAAATCACAACATTTTTTTCCAAAATTCTCAATTTTTTTAGGGTTTCTACCAAAACTAGATTCCCCCCCCCCCCCCCAAAAAAAAAAAAATGAAAGGATTCTTCTATAACAACACTTACATAGCTCATAGTCTCAAAAGTTTGGGGAATTATAAAGAAAATCCACTTTAAAACCATTTAGAGCTCATGAACCCAAAATCATAGTTCAAAATATGAGAAAAAGGTTCCAAACAAGCATAGACTTGCAAAAATATATATATAACTCTAAGAATGTTCATACGTCAAGTTTGGGAGAGGAAGGAGAGAAGAACCCTAAAATTCAACGTTGATGAAATCTTGATTCGATCAGTGAAAATGTAGCCCTCGCCCTTTTCGATTTGGTGTAAAAAGGCCTATCAAAATCTTAATAGTTTTTCTAAATTTTATAGAGAAGTATAAGTTTGGGTGGGTTTGTAGAGAGATGGAGGAGAAAAGATGAATATATATATATATATATATGAAAAAGTGTGTAAAACACGTTTTTGGCTTAAATTTGAGGAAAATAGCTCAAAATTTGAGACAGACGTGTCGAAAATTGCACAAGCGATTCAAATTTCGCATGAGCGAAAATCTAAATCCGCACAAGTGGATTCACACACGTCTCACAAGCAGTTTGAGCCAGAGAAGAACCAGAATTTCAACCAAATCCGTATGAGTGGTTTTCAAATCTGCACGAGCAGTTTTTCTGCCCAGAATTTCCCAAAATCCCTAAGTGATTCCGCTCGAACAGTTACCAAATCAGCACGAGCAGTTTTGCCAGCCGAAGCCAAAAATTTGATTCCATACCCCAAGACAAGTTCCAACGCACACAACTCAAAATTTTAACTTGAAAACGTTAAGAGAGATTAAGTAAGAGCGGAATTGAAATCTCAATGACTCAGGCATCGTTTGGGAAGAGCTAAAGTAGGCTTTTTTGGCTATTTTAGCCACAAATGACAAAATAAGCTATTTTAGCCACAAAAAATAAAATATCATATCCAACCCATAATCATTATACTCTTCTCTCACAAAAAAAAGCCAAAAAAACCAAAAAGTCAAAAAACCCTTCTCAAACCAAGCTTTTTAGCCCTGGCTAAAATAGTTAAAAAAAGCCAAAAAGTCAAAAAGCCAACCCACTTCCCAAAACAACCCTCAATATGAAAATCAAAATGCCGAAAGTAAAACAAACCACCTGACTACGCAATATCGGTCAAGTCTAGGACCCGAGGACATCATAAGGAATATGGATAAAAGACAGTTTTGGTCAACTTTTAAATTAACAACTTTGAAGACCAAAATGACAAATTTTAAAACTTGAGGGACTAAAATGACAAAAAATGAATATTTTAGGGACCAAAACTGTCTTTTATTCAAGAATAAAATACTTTTCTCATTATCAATGTAAATGGACATTAGAGATAAGACTAAGTTGACTCAAATTGACAATTTTAAGGACCAAAATGAAAAAAAATTAAAACTTGAGGGACTAAAATAACAAAGAATGCATATTTTAATAACTAAA